CTTGAAGGCCACCTTGGAAAATGTTTGCCTGAGATGGGGAGTTGAATGTCCTTGACAACTGAAGTGTTCCCCAACTGGGAGGGTAGGGTTGGGGCGTGAGTCTGGGTGGGATGCTCTTTGGAGAGTGCATGTTTATTTTTGGGTCAAACGGCCTGTTTCAACACTGTAGGAATTCTATGGAAGTTTTGTCACCATCACTAGAGAAGTATTATTAGACAAACTAATGGGGCTAAAGTCAAGTAAGTACCTTCGCCTTAATGCCTTGTGTCTTAGGTACTTAAAAGAGGTAGCTACAAAGATAGAAGATGCACTGGTTGTAATTTTCCAAAAATCATTGGATTCTGAAAAGTACCAGAGGATTGGAAAGCTGCTAATGTGACAGCTCTATTCAAAAAGAGAGGGAGGCAGAAACAAGGTGGAGGTGCCATTATAGAGAATTGGTCAATGGGCAGGAAACAGTAAGTGGGGATTAGGGGTTCTTTTTCAAGTTAGTGACCTGTGAGCGGTGGGGTTGCACGGGAATTAGTGATAGATTAAGTAAGTGGGCAAAAAGCTGACAAATGGGTATAGTGTGGATAACATGAAGTTGTTCATTTTGGAAAGGAGAACAAAAGAACAGACTATTACTTAAATGAAAATATACCGGAAAGCTGCAACACAAAGGGACCTGGGGGGAACTTGTGCATGGAACACGGAAAGCTGGCACACAGAGGCAGCAGGTAATTAGGAAGGCTAATGGAATGTTGGCCCTTGTTTCAAGGAGATTGGAGAATAGGAGTAGGGAAGTCTTACTGCAATTGTACAAGGTGTTGGTGAGACAAATCTGGAATAATGAGTGCAGTTTTGGTCCCCTTATTTAAGAAAGGATACATTTCATTGGAGGTAGTTCAGAGAAGGTTCACCAGGATGACCCCTGTATGTATGAAGAAATTGTTTTATGACCAAAGGTTAACCAGATTGGGACTCTTCACTGGGATTTAGGAGAATGAGAGGGGCTTGACAGGGAAATGCTGAGAGGATGTTTCCCCTCATGGGAGAGTTTAGGAGAAGAGGTCAAAGCCTCAGAATAAAGGACCACCAATTTAAGACTGAGATGAGAAGGAATTTCTTCTCTCAGAGGGTTATGAGCCTTCAGAACTCCTTGCCACAGAGACCTGTGGGGGCAGAATCCTTATATATATTTAAGGTGGAGGTAGATGGATTTTTGATCAGTCAGGGAATCAAGGGTTATAGGGAAAGGGCAGGAGAGTGGACGTGAAGAATGTTGGATCAACTGTGATCCTATTGAATGGTAGAGCAGGCTTGAGAGACTGAATGGCCTACTCCAGCTCCTATTTCTTATGGTCTTAAATAGATTTCTATTCTTCTAAAAAACTAACTCACATATTTGAGGAAAAACAAAAAATGAAAACACCACAAAATGTTAATTTTAAAGTATTTTGGCTAAGTAAGAGAGAAACTTGTGAAAAAACATATCATGGATAATCCCAAACAGTGTTCAGATTCTGAAGTTCTTCTGCACACACACAAACTGCTGGACATTGGGTTATAGTAAGCTGAATTCCCTTTGCTTCAGATAATGGGATCAATTCAAGGAACATGCCCTGAGTGGTAAGGATGACTTCTGGTGGGTTTTCAGTTCGCACAATTTGCTAAAAGGAGTTATAAAGAACGAAGGTGGGAGCAATCAAGTGGATGGGATAGAACGGAGAGCTGGGGAGGGAAGGAATAAAGGAACATAAAGGAATGGAGGGAACAGAATGGCAGTGAAGATTAAAAAGTGAGAGAGGGGTTCAGTGAGGAATCATTGAGGTAGGAACAGAAGGAAAATGAGGGTGGTGGCGAGGGACGTGGCCAGGGAGGGAGAGGGAGGGTGAGGGAGGGGAAGGAAAGTAGTATGGGAGGGAGAGGAAGGGAGGGTGAGGGAGATGGTGAGGGAGAGGAAGGGAGGGTGAGGGAGGGGGACGGAAATTATGAGGGATACCTGATTAACAGAAAATTGTGCCGTTTTACTGAGGTTTGTTTTATTCTGAAAAATATTAACTTAGTAACAAAAAAAACTCTTACTAATTAATAATGTTTCCAAACCCTAGAGTCCAGCAGAAAAGAGGTTTTTGTTGGACAGATTTTTTAACTCTGTGGCAGGTTTTAGAAAGTTCTGGACATGATGTTGTAAAATGGGATAATTCTGTGTAAATGAGGGAATATGAGGCAGTTGGCAATGTGGAAATCCACAGGATGACAGTATGATTATTGAGGATGGTCCTGGGCCAGTTCCAAAAGGGGCTGAGAGGAATCCTCAATGGTAATAAGGAGCTTAGCCTCTTCTTTCAGTCTCTCTTGAATTACAGACCCAGCTGCTTATAACCCCTTGCGCCTCAGAGTTTTGGTTTTAGATGGGTGTTTTTGTTGTTTGCTCTGGGTGAGTCGCTCTGTGCTTTATTCACCAACCTCATGTCAGCCGAATCAGGTCAGAGTGCAGCTGGGCTCCCTTCCACCTCCCATGCGAACCGCCCTTGCCCCTGGCGAACCCCTCCCTTCCTGATCCCCTGCCCTCCCTTTTACAACAGTGACAAAAGTGCCATGATCCCTCTGTTGAGTCTATCTAATGAAGAGGAATTCCGTCGTTGCTGAATCTCCCGGTGTGACCACTCTCTCTGGGAAGGTCAGGGTAACTACATTGTAAATCCATTCCCATCCAAAGACCCTAGGAATGTGTACACTAGGAAACAGACCCCACTCACTGTCCTGACTTGGAAACATATCATCGTTCTTTCACTGTCGCTGGGTGAAAATCCTGGAATTCCCTCCCTAATGGCATTGTGGGTCAACTTAGAGCACATGGACTGCAGCGGTTCAAGAAGGCAGCTCACCCCCACCTTCTCAAGGTGCAACTAGGGATGGGCAATAAATGCTGGGCCCAGCCAGCGATACCCACATCCCAAAAATTAACTTTTTAAATTTCCAATTCTCAGTAATGTTTCTTAAGTTGAATGTAGTTCAGCAAAACCAGGATTATTTAAAATGTGAATGGACAAAAGATCTGGGGGCCTTTGGAGAGCTTTCGCAGTCAGTACAGACATAGAGAAGCCAGCAGTTGTTAACACTCTCCCTCCTGACTAGTTGCTTGTCGATGAGCCTAGCTGGGGTGACAGAGCGTGAGGGGAACTCTCCGTACCGCACGGTACCCACACGGGATGTGAGGGTGGAGATCACAGAGAACCTGAGACAGAAGGAGCAACATAGATTGTCTTCAGTTCACCACATACCCATCCCACACAATCTACTGATGACACAGGGCCAGAATTGACAGGCACCAAATCACAGGAGTGAGGGCTGGCATTGGCCGTTGAGAATTTCATGTGACAGCTCCTCCTGTATCCCTGCAGCTGCCGCCGATGGCCACTGGTCTGGAAACAGATCGAGTGCTGGAGCTGCCTTTGTTGTGAGCTAGGACAGAGTGGCATAGGCCCTCTCTGAGAGACTCAATGCTGTTTGGGCTCTCTCTCCAGCTGCTGGACATCTTTAGGATTGAGTTCACACCATCGTCCTGGAGCCTGGCCAGAAATATGAATACAAGAGCCAAGGAAACATCAGTCAGAGACAGCAGCAGGAATTTATTAAAGCGATAAGCACACATGGTCAAAAATAGAGGCAGATTGTTTTAACCTGAGAGACCAAGTTTGTGATTCTGCCTCCCCGATAAAGAGCATTACAGAACAAAGAGCATTTTTAAATACGTTCCCAGCTCACATTGACAGTAACAAATCAAACACTTCCTGAGGGCTCAGGGACAGAGAGCTCACAGTCATAGAGTCCTTGGAGGTCCCTACTCTAGGACGAGGAGGGGGGGAGATAGAGATAGAGATAGAGAGAGAGAGAGATACAGATAGAGAGAAAGAGAGATAGAGATAGCGAGAGAGAGAGAGATAGAGATAGAGAGAGAGAGAGATAGAGATAGAGAGAGAGAGAGATACAGACAGAGAGAAAGAGAGATAGAGATAGTGAGAGAGAGAGAGATGGAGATAGAGAGAGAGAGATAGAGATAGAGAGATAGAGAGATAGAGAGAGAGAGTTAGAGAGAGATAGCGAGAGATAGAGATAGAGAGTTAGAGACAGGGAGAGAGATAGAGAGAGATAGAGATAGAGATAGAGAGATAGAGATAGAGATAGCGAGAGAGAGATAGAGAGAGAGAGAT